GAACACGCTGTTACCCTTTCCGGGGGCTAACGCGTTCACCACCACACCGTGCGGGTCTTTCGCTTCGCCTGTCTCTCAGCTATGTGTTACTAGTTACGCACAGAGTAAGAGAGCATAACGGAGACGATTTCGATATAAATGAAAGGATAAAGCTCTCGGCGTTGATCAATCCCTGAGCGATGCGCCATGCATTCGGCTTCATTAAGTATCGTTGGAGGTGAATGAATGCATATCTGGCCTTTACACTGACTTACGGTGGCCTACCGATATATCGAGCCAGTGCTGCTATCCTCCCAGAAAAGTCTGGTACCAATTTACTGACCGCGTAGGGATGGAAGGTTTGGTGGGCCACGAGCGGAGGGATCGATTCCACCTCTGTGATGCAGGGCGCCTCCGACCACTCTCTGATTTTGATACAAAAGTCACCATTCTCGCACAGGATGACAGAACACCAATACACAGGATTCTCGAGGCTTTTTGGATCAATGCCTAGAATCCTAGAATGAACAGCAGGGATGAAAGACCAGAGGTCACACGTGGTCTGCCCCGTATCTTAAAATCGACTTTTGATGTGGGGTGCTGCATTCATCAACTACATACGAGTCTAAGCAGGTGTTTACCTCATGGAAGGCACGCGAATACAACTGGTTTTGGAGAAGCTGTTGATCATGTGATTACCACACAGATTCTTACCTTTCCGTTTGTTGCGTTATTGGAGCGTTTGGTACGATGGATTGCGTGTCAGTGTACCCTTCCGGGCTCCAATTAAGTCGATACTGCCGAAGCGTCAGCTTTACCGAAATGAAGAGTGAAGTAACACCTTGTGTTTGCTCGGAATATTAAGAATTAGGAAATAAAAAGAAAGGAAAAGCCATTAAAAAGAAAAAGGCAGTAAATAAAAGGGTTAAGATTGTGATTATAACTAAGCCTCAGCTTAACTGGGTTCAATGCCGATTTGGGCTCCCCAGATCAATCTTGTTGACGGGTGATTGCTGATGGCAAAAGATCAATAGAACTAGCCGAGAGACAGGCAAGACGAAGGACCCGGATGGTGTGGTGGTGAAGTGCGCTACTCCCCGGAAAGGACAATAGGGCGCGTTCGTTCCCCACCGCATACACCTGCGGTGCGGAGTCTTGCAAATAGCATTATATATGAGAATTAGGAGTTATAAAATTCTGTTCTCTAATATGAAACCTCTTTAGAAAAAGGTAACTTTTTACTTGTCTACTTCCACCTCTTTTCCTCATGTTTTCAAATGCTAGCTAGTTCATCTTCATTATGCAAATTTCTTTCGCCTCTTTGAAAGCACAACCGAAATTCTCACGAAGCCTTTACGCTACTGTTCCCGACGGCGTTGACATCAAAGCATGAGCGCGGAACCAGATCTGGATCTCCATGCACTTTATCACCACTTTCTTCATTCACTCATTCTTCATCTCCGTGGAAAAACGTCAGTTCTCTTCTCATTTTTATTGTCTACGGCTACTCTACTGCAATTGGTGATTTGATATTCACTCGTGAGTGTTTCGTCTTTCCACTTTAAATGGGCTTTATGAAAATCAGTTACGGTAGGCCGAAGACAGAACCCTGATTCATGCATCGTTATACCATATATATATATATATATATATATCGTAAATTTTTTATTTACTGCCTACTAACTTTGAATAGCAAGGTATTATGTGGCATATAACCATAATGTTGCTGAGATATTTGCAGAACTCCGGACCAGACCACTGGTTTCTGTGGTGGGGATTGATCTGGGGAGCACAAATCGCCAATACCGTTGACGGGTGAATGATGACAGCGCCTATAGGTCAATAACACATGGCTGAGAGACAGGCGAAGCGAAAGACCCGCACGGTGTGGTGGTGAACGCGTTAGCCCCCGGAAAGGGTAACAGCGTGTTCGGTCCCGACCACAGCCACCAGCGGCCCGGAGTTCTGAGAATATCTCAGCAACATTATGGTTATATGCATATATATATATATATATATATATATACAATTTCCTAATTTGGAAGTCGAGTTATTGTATTCTTTGTACTAATTAACCTTTTTTAGCATCACAACAGTTATTTTATTTGGAACACAACTGAGGAGGTAGCAAAAAATACCTAATACGGAATCCTTGAGATCTTTAAAGCATTCGATTTCTCTAGATTTAGCCCTTTAGCATGTCTGTGGCAAACAGATAAGTGTGTCATCTTGAAAAGAAGCGTCTTCTTCAATACAAGCATTTTGTACTGTTGGAGACCTTCATTTGAATCAATGTTCGGAAATTTCTTAACGATTTATAACAGTGAATTCTTTAGTCAAACAAATCCCCTTATACGATTCACTGAATAAAAAGGACCTAAAGAAGTAAATGCTGCAAGGAAAGTAAGCCGCGTGGGATCTTCAAAGGGCTTCTTAGCATAGAATTATTCCGATAACGAGTAAAAACTATGATAACACAAGTATAGCCTGACTAAGTTTCGAAAGGCGTAGTGTAGGCCGAAGGAGCTGCAGTGATTAGAGCTGTCGGCTCTAGAATGGCCGTCAGATGATTGACACACACCGTAACGAGAGTGTACGCCATGAGATGACAGCGAGGAAAGGCGAACCCATCAATTCATGATTGTGTCCTGAATAGACACCTCCGCGAAGTTTTAGTGACATGCCTCACAACAGCGTTTACGTCCGAGAAGATTCAAAGGAATAGGTCGTTGTTAAGTTGGCTTAAGACTTCAAATTCACACTGACATACATTTACAACTTCAAACGTGGCGAATGTGTCAGCTACTTGGATTTCTGGAAATCAAATCTTTACTTTTCAATTCTAAATAAGATCAGAAGCACAAAGAGTGCTGCTTTCTTGGATAGGTAGTATAACTAGTCGGTTGATGAAGTGGTAATCTTGAATCCACAGAAAACCTCCAGCAAGCATTAATCGACAGGAAAGTGGCGTTATCCCTGAAATGTACCAGATGCCAGTTAGCGGTACTTTCATAATGCACACCACCCGCAGCGCAATTTCGGTGATGTCAACTAACCTGCTATGTCAATGAATGGGAGAGTTCTCGTGAATGGGTGAAAGACAAAAACGAATGCGCAGAAATAATTTAGGTGAGCAGAAGTTACGGGACCGCCCGAAACAGCGCCGTTTCGGCAAGTTTGTGGATAACCCGTGTCTTCTTCTTTCGCTCACGATGTCCATCGAAGCACAGGTATGCCGACCACAGAACCACCATGAGGATCGATACAATGACGTAAACGAAACTGAAACGAGTCTTTATATTTTTCAGCGTTCATACGATGTTTAGTAATAAACTGTCTTACTACCGGTTCAGTCATGAGATACTCCAATAATTCCAAACTATCTACTGTGTTGTAATCGAGCAAGATAAGCTTTCGGTTACAACGACTGCTTCCATCTACAGATAACAAAATACTTATGGGTCAATTACGTGGCCCACTAGAGTCAATAGAGAACTTCCCGTTCAAGAAATATTCGGGCGGGACACGGAAATGGGGAGACATTACAGTGTTTTATTTCTTGAAGTGACCTAGTAGCACTCACAACTAGGGAAAGAGAACATTGATAATATACGCATCCATTGGAGTGTTTCCTATAACTCAAATCCACTACGAGTCGGAAATATTGTTAAGCAACCACTGCTAGTTCTAATTGTTGAAGAAGGCATTTAGCTTTCAAAGCGGCTGAAATTTTGGTTTCGTACTTTTTCTGCTTTTTGGTATGGAAGTGTTTCGCCGAGTAGATTGTAGGCAACTTGAGCATTCCAGGCTATGAGGAGGACCAAATCCGCCGAAACATCAGCTCTATTGTGAATAAAGAATGAAGTAGAAGCCTCGTGTTCGCTCATCAAGAAAATAGTGAACTTTTTCATTAATGCCGAGATTAATAAAATGTCGGTCTCGTGAGTTAAAGACTATGTTAAGCCTGTAATTTACACGACCAATGTTAGGCTAATGCAAAACTAATTGCGGACCTTGGCACAATGAAATTTATAGAAATTTTCGTTCCACAGTACTTCGCATTCATTGGTGAAGCCTGCCGTTTTAGCTTTATTTACTACTTAATAACTTGCTAAATAATGTTTTTTAAAGCGAACCAATTAGTGCAATTTTAGAATGATGGTTCTAAAGAACGAAATTCGCGTCATCTTGCTTCATGAGTTCAAGAGCGTTTCTTCTCCAAGTTGGAGAGCTTCCGAAAACCCAGAACGTATGTAGTCCAAAAGATTTCGGAGACATGAGTTTTCACAACGAAAAGGCGCTGAACGCACATGAGCAGTTGACGACGACAACCTGAAGCCTCCTTCCCTTCAGCGACAGATAGAATCAAGTAGCTCAAGGTGTTCAAATATGACGAAGCAACCGCAACGGAAAATAATGTCACAAAACCGATGAATTCCTTACAGAACTGCGATGTATGCATCCATATATGACCAACAGAAAAGGTCTAATCTTCTTGTATGACAACTCTTGATCACACAGTACACAGCAATGCAGCGGAAGTTAACTGTGTTGGGCTACGAAACTTGCTTTCATTACTACACCGAATGGACGCCTCTTCAGTCGATAAAGAATTTTTTCATTTTTAAAACCCCACTAACAATTACTAAAAAGGTGACGTCTT